TATCTTTTTTTTTTTTTAATCTTTGTTTCCAGCAAAATAAGATAAATAACCTGACTGGGGTTAGGTGGTATCTGCTTGTAGTTTTGATCTGCATCTCCCTTTATGATGAGGGATGTTGAACATTTTTTCATATGCTTTTTGGCTCTTTATATGTCTTCTTTAGAAAGTTGTTTATTCAGCTCATTTTCCTATCTTTTTATTGGGTTAATCATTTTCTTCCAGGTAAGCTGCTTGAGTTTCCTGTATATTCTGGTTATTAGTCCCTTATCTGAGACATAGTTTACAAAAACTTTCTCCCATTCTGAGTGTTGTCGATTCACACTAATTACTGTGCTCTTTGCTGTGTAAAAAATGTCTTAATCTGATGTAATCCCACTTATCTATTTTGGAGATTATTGCCTGTGCTTTGGGGGTCTTGCTTAAGAAGTCTTTGCCTACTCGAGTGTCTCCCAGTTTCCCCAGTGTTTTTCACTGGTGGTTTTACAGTTTGAGGTCTCAGGTTTAGAACTTTGATCCACTTTGAGTTGATTTTTGTTGATGAACTCTTTTCTTCTCTTATTTTTCTATCACTATTTATTTTAAATAACACACCTTTTTATTTATTTTTTCTTTTTTGCTTCCTTTGTCCTTCCGCTATTTCATCCCCATTCTAGGTAATCTTAACTGCTTAATATGTATCTTTCCATAGCTTTCTCCCCACTTATAAATTAATTTGAAGCTTTTTAATTAATTCTATAAGCTAACTTTTTTAGATATCTACAGATAGGGATATAAATTGGTGTGTATATGGATGTATATAATGATATCTCACCATGTATCTAATCTTTTCACTTTAACATGGTTAACTTTGATAAGTTGAGTATCTTAATTTTGCTATAACAATTATTATTGATCTGTTTCTTAACAATTAAGGAGATAATAAATCCTTCCTGGGGAACTCTCCTACATTGCTGGTGGGAATGTAAATTAGTCCAGCCACTGTGGAGAACAATATGTAGGTTCCTCAAATATCTACAAAAAAAAAAATACCCTTTTTACTTTAAAGGGCTTTTTCCCCTCCATTATTTAGAAGTTGACAACTCCAAATAATGTGCTTAAATGTAAACTGCTCCCTATAATTATTGTTAATTCACAGTTTTATTTCCACAAACAAAGTGTTTCTTCTAAGGTATCCATTGCAGAAATTTCACAAGTTTTCTGCTATGCTTCAATAAGTATACTTAATCTTAAAGTTGAGCAGTACTAACACTTAGTAGGTCTATGTGGTAAATGAGGCTGTCGTTCAAGCTCACACATGACTGCTGGGGAATACTGAGTTAGAGAGAAAGTATATGTTGGATCATTGGAAAAGTAATGACGTATTTTTTTCTATTTTTCTTTGCAAAAATGCATCATGACTTTTCTGACAATCCACTGTACCGCCTGCTGATCCCCCTATTGTTTTTATTATACAGGTTTTACACATATCATGTAAAATTTTTCCTATGATTTTTCTAAATTTATTTTAATAACATTACTGTGAAGGTAGTTTTTAATATTAATAAGGAATTTATTTATTACAATATTTTCTTTTTTTTAAAAAAGAATTACTTATTTAATCTTATTTATTAATTCATTTATTTTAATTTGACCAGAAAGAGACATAGAGAGAGAGAGAAGGAGTGTGAGAAAGCAAGCCACCAGGTCCAGGACTCAAACCACAGTCAGGAGTGTCCAGTGCCTTAACCACCACACGACCTGCTGGTCCCCATTACAGTATTTTCTGCCAAGAAATTTCACTTCAGCATAAATCAACTTGGTCTTTATATTTCTCAGCTGATGTCCCTTCCTCAGCGTACTGCATAGAAATATGTTCCCCAGGCCAGCTGCAGTGGCACAGCAGTAACGCAATGCTCCACGATGTTGAGGCCATATGGAGAGGTCCCAGGCTTGCATCCTGAGCTCTCCCTGTGCCTATGAGTCCCAGTAGTCCTGGCTTGCTAAGGCTGGGGTAGGATCATGGCATGAAGACCCTGTTTAAGGAAGGGTCTCTCTTTATTTCTCTCTCTCTCTTTCTCTCTCCTTCTCTCATGGAATGAATAAATAAACTTAAAAATATATTTTCTTGGGGTCAGCAGGTGAGGTGTTGGTTAAGGAGCTGGATTTCTACATGACTGACCACAGTCTGAGTCCCAGATCCAGTGGCTTGAAACTCACACCAGATGTGTGTGTGTGCATGCCCAAAACCCAGAGAAGAGAATGGAGGAGAAGGGATTGTAGTGTGTCCTTCCCCTCTGGGGGGTGATTTCTCAGTTTCTATCTCTCTGTCTCTCTCTCTATCTTGCTGGTGAGCACATGTGCCCTATAGCAAAAAATCTCTCAAAACAGCAACAAAAATATACAATAGGACCAGTTCCATGTCCTGGTGGATAAAGTGGCTGAATCTTACATGGCTGACTATACAGTTTGAGTCCTGTACCCAGCAGTTTGAGAAACATGCGGGTGTGTGTTGCATGTCCCGAATTCAAAGTGGAGGAAGAGATGGGCAAGGGATTGCAACATGACCACTCCCCACAGGGAGTGCTTTTCTTCTCCCTCTCTCTCAGTCTCTCTAGTGAGTTGATGTAATCTCTGACAAAATAAAATAATATAATATAATGACATAATATAAAATAATAAAATAAAATGACAAAGCATCGCTGTCATACACAAGGTATCTAAGACTTCAATAAAAGATGTGGGGGAACATTTGGAGATGAAGGAAATGTTCGGTATTGTCATTTTCATGGCGATTATAGGGGTGTAAAAACTTGTGCAAATTGATTGAAGTGGATATTTAAAACAGAGTGCATCATAGTGCATGTGTCTCCATAAAGTGGTCTTTGATAGTTGTTTTGTTTTTTTGTTTTGTTTTGTTTTTGCTATAGGGCGCATGCGCTCGCCAGACAGACAGAGAGAGACAGAGAGACAGAGAGTGAGAAATCA